TCCTTTCTCTCTCTCCCTACAACAAGCAAGTTCTCCTTTGAACCTGACCATAGCTGGCCAGAAGCCTCCAGTGCAAATCCCTTCACCTCTAGGATGAAGTCTGAATGCCAAAGCCCATTATTCAAGACACCCATCAAGCCAAGACCACCCTAACCACTGCTTCATTCTCACGCTTTCCTACATTCACTTCTGCAAGTCATCCCTTCTGCTTCCTGGACACTCTGTCTCATGCTTGGTGTCACTTTGACCTGCGATTAAAATGCCTGTCTTTATCTCCCATAACCCATTTCCTCTGCAAAGCTCCCCCTCCCCAGCTCTTGCCTTTGTGGATGTCTACACATCCGGAACCAGTAGCACTTGGGAGTTTGTGCTACTCATTTTCATATGTTTGCTATGTGCTGGCAAAAATAGTCTCTGAAATACATTCGTGCTTACTAATTCACTCATTTGAAATGTGGCTTGCCTCCCCCGAAGACAAATAACGTTCAGTGGAAGGTGTGCAGCTATCCTAATAATAGATTCTAGATGAATAATAGATGTTAGGGTTTTGGGAGCGAGCAAATATATAAAGTGTAGCGCTGTGATAACAGATTCTGTTGTGCACAAGTTCTATCAAGCCCCACACATAAAGGTATGAGGCGCAAACACAATATTCAATCCTTTGAGAAATATTAAGGTTTCAAAATGTATTTTATTAATTCTTTGAAGTGCATACAATGTATTTTGATTATATTCACCCTTTCTACTCCCTCCTGGACCTACCTAGTTCCTCCCAGATCTAACCTTCACTTCCCTCCCTTCCTCCTGACTTCATAGTCTCTCTCTCTCTCTCTCTCTCTCTCTCTCTCTCTCTCTCTCTCTCGTGTGTGTGTGTGTGTGTGTGTGTGTGTGTGTGTGTGTCTGTGTCTGTGTCTGTGTCTGTGTCTGTGTTTAACAGACTGAATCCAGTTTGTGGCGCTCATATAATCGGGGGTGGATCCATCCAAGAAATACTAAGTGTTAGCTGTGTGCCAGCCATGTACTAGAACTGATTCAAAAGTATTCACAATTTCAAGGACATTGACATCTAATCAAGAAAGAGGCATAAAAACTAAAAGTTAAGATGTAATCTGGCACTCATCAATCTGAACACACCCATAGATTGGTGGAAATATTGATCCTGCTGTTGTGGCTCGTGATTCTCAAAGGGGGAGTGGTTAGATATAGTGGAGTTTTATTAGGAGGGTGAGCAGTGTGAGCAAAGGGTGTGTCAAGAACTATGGGGTGAAGAAGAGAAACAATGTGGTACATGGGGCAGAGAGGACAGATCGCAATGAGCCAGGTCTGTGCCAGTAAAGAACTCATATTTTATCCTATGAGTGACCCAGTGATTTCCATGTAAAGGACTCATAGAAGCATTCTACGTGTAGAGCCAAGAAATTGAGAACTTGTGCAGCCTACAAGATGAGGCAGAGGGAAGTCAGCACTGGATACAGAGATCAGTTGGTGGGTCATGACAGGACACCATCTAGGAGATGCTAAAGGCTTGGAGTAAACGAAAGCAGTGAGGGGCAGGTAGAGAAAAAGAAAGAAATCCACACGTGATTTGTGGGTCAAAAGTCACAAGGTGGCTGTGGTGGTCTATGTGAGGGGTGGGAAGAGTCAAATGTGGCCCTCACTTCTGACCTGAAGGTTGGATGTGGCAGAGAGGGAAAGGCCCAGCTCTACGGTGGAGATGGGACGTTCTGTTTAGACCTTGAGGAGTCTGAAGTGCCTTCAGATCACAAAAGTCCTCTAGCAGCCACCAAGGGCCTACCATGGTTGGAGCTTCTCAAGGACCTCTCTGAAAACCACTGCTGGTGCCCTCTCTTCTTCTACATAAACCAGTTGAGTGTTTTATAGGCAAAGCTCTTTCAAGCCACTGTCTGGAAGTAAGTATCTAATTTTCATAGAATAAATAAAAATATGGTAATTTTCTGATAGAGAGCTACTTCCCCTTCACTAGACTTAAGTCATAATGAATTTGGTTATTTCCTAAATTAAGCGGCCCCTCCATACTGTAGATAAAGGTAGATACTGGTTCCATGGGGCAGTAGGAGAGATCCCACTTTGAACTCAAGCAACTCTAAAACAGAAGCCAAATCAAGACAGACATATAGCCCCCTAAGGTCACAAGCACAAGACTACACTCAGCCTGATCCATGCTTGCTGAGATGTGGTAGCTAAGAAGCTTAAGACACTGAGGCATTCCAGAGCATCCTATGAGACAACTCTCTACCTCCGTTTCTGAGACAGGCACACTTGTGCTCCTCATTACACCATCTCCATTCATTAGAAAACCTGGTATTATTGTCTCCCAACCAGACTGACCTAGAATGCGGGCTCAGGTCTCTGCCCTTGGCTCTAGGCAGGAAGATGAAGGCAAAATGTGGATGGTAACTCAGCTATGGACAAAGGAATTGATTAACTATCAAGATACCTAGTCCTGAAAAACTCAGTATTGTAGTGGAACAAGGAGTGCATCCACTTGAATTGTAATGGAACAAGGAACTCATCCACTGGAAACAGAATTCTCGAGACTAGGCACAGCACAGTTGGCTGTGAGAAGGGCAGGGGAACAAGCCTGACCTAGCGCTACTGGAAAGACCTGTCCTCTGGTTACTCAGAAAGTGTCAGAGTGCTTAAAATAAAAAGCGAGGTTTGGAAATAATGTCCAGTGACAGACATTGTCTTGGTCCCTTAGTTGGGACACAGTGACTTCAGTGTGGTCATTTCATGAACCCAGCAAGCAGATTAGCCAGTTGTTTCTCTACCATGCTAACGCATGCATAATTATATTACACTCAAGCAACATGCACTCCTTTCTAAACAATAAGAAGTGACAATATATGTATATTTATATATTATCTGGGAATATATATGTATGTAGCAACAGTTGATTGTAAAAAGAGGTCATGAATTTCAAAGAGAGCCAGTAGAGGTAAATGGGAGGTTTTAGAGGGAAGAAAGAGGAAAATGTAATTATGCCAGGCATAGTGGTGAGTTTTTTTAAATGGTGAATATTTTTAAATCCATAATTTGGAAGGTAGAAGCACACAGATCTCTGAGTTCAAAGCCAGCCTGGTCTACATAGCACGTTCTGAGCCAGCTAGGGCTATAGAGAGAGAGACCCTGTCTCAAAAAGGGAGGGAGGGAGGGAAGGAGGGTGGGTGGGAAGGCAGGTGGAAGGAAGGAAGGAAGGAAGGAAGGAAGGAAGGAAGGAAGGAAGGAAGGAAGGAAGGAAGGATGGACAACAGCTACAGAATGATCTGGGAGCTCCACCCAGCACAACACACCAACATGCATAGTAGTAAGATGAGCACTCTGACTTTGTATCAGGTCAGTTTCTGTTACTTAGCTTTTGCCAACCATAATGCACTACAATTATTCTCAACAGTCAGCAAGGACACGAAGACAAGAGAAAAGCTTCTTGCAGCTGTGGGCTCTCCTCCCCAGGCAGTGCAGCCCTCCCCTCACTTGTGATGGGATGACTGGCATAGAAAGTCCCATGGTGGTGGCCAGAAGCAGCAGTTAGTGTTTTCATGCTCCCTAGCAGAGGATACTGAAATATTGTCAGCGTCAGCTTGAGCATGTACCCCCTTTTCTACCATTTGAATAAGCCCTGCAGGGTCTTCTGTCTGAAGGGAAAAACTTTATATCAGACAAAGCCACCACCACCTCTTAGCTAATAAATGGAAAATTCACCATTCTTTAATTATTGAATTATAGGCATTGTTACCAAACATTGCTTTCATTCCTGGTTCCAGGGGTAGAAATATGTAGAATGTCCCTGTTAGGGTCCATTCAAATTCCCCGTGGCTGTGCTAAGGACTGTTGGTTAGATCATTACACAGCATAAGTTGCCTTTACTCTGACTTCTCCCATTACCATGTATGGATACTTGGAAGCAGTATGGTACAATGGTCAAAATCATGGACTCTAGAGTAAAACAATCTAACCTCTGAGAATCTGTAGGATGCTAGATACATACCAACATTTCAAGCCTCTTGTGTGAAAAAAAATAGAAGTAAAGCCTAGTTATAGCATGGAATCTTTTGAACATGAGCTGCGATAGCAGAGTACTTAACACAGTGGTTGGAGTGGGCTAAGTGTTCTGTAACTGTCAGTCATGACCATTATGATTATCATCATTATAAGCAACATTCCCTGGGAGGAGGTACATGGACCAAGAACGGCCACATGTTCTCCTCTGTCATTCTGTACAAGGATGGGAGAGGGGCAGGAAGAGCAGAGAGTACTAAGAATGCCAAGGCCACAACACAGGCGATGAAGAAGATTCCAGCCAGGACACTAAGCCAAGGGGAGAGCAGTGTATGAGGGAGCATGCGTGCCAGCCTACAGCATTTCCACAAAGCATTTTAGCTTTAGTGGAAAAGTGACCGGTACTCCAGCACAGCTTTTCTTTTTCTGTGTTTTCTGAGTGCTCGTTTGGTTTAATAGTAGAATTTAAAGATACAATGTAAAATAGAAATTCTACTACTAAGGCTTTTCTAAGAAATTAATATAATGCTGAACTTCACTTCTTTTACCCCTCCTATCCTTTCCTCCTGCTGCATCCTTCCAAATACATTAAATTTCATATCACCTCTTCCAGAGGTCAAACCTTATTCAAACATTCTTCCTCCAAAAGGTGCATCCTGCCATGGGTTACCGCTAAACTGCTCATCACCATCATTCCGATGAGTTGACAGCTATATGTGGTCTCATCACTGTTTGGGCTTGTTTTCCATCGGGTCAGCTAGGCTTTTATTTAACTTACTTTGGCACTGCGTTTTCATTGTAATGTGTTTTTTTCCTCATTTAATCCTGATACAGCCCAGCATAGAACTTTTTGGCCTAGATTCCCCCTCCCGTCTTCCCATTTTTCCCAGCTTGACTGTGATAGTTAAGTGGTGGGCACCTGCCCAACTTGAAGGAAAATTCACTCAGCTTATTCTTGTGTATCCCCTTTGTTTTGCCAGGTCAAGCTGGGAGCTGCCTGACTTGAGGGAAGGGAGAGTAAAAGCCATCAGTGACTCAGATGGGGTGAGCTACCCCTGGTACGGGAACACCACAGAGACTGTGACCCTGGTTGGCCCCACCAACAAGATCTCCAGGTTCTCCGTCAGCATGAATGATAACTTCTACCCCAGTGTGACATGGGCAGTGCCAGTGAGTGACAGCAACGTGCCACTTCTCACAAGAATCAAGAGGGACCAAAGTTTCACCACCTGGCTGGTGGCCATGAACACCACCACAAAGGAGAAGATCATTCTGCAGACCATCAAGTGGAGAATGAGAGTGGACATTGAAGTGGACCCTCTCCAGCTGCTGGGGCAGCGGGCGCGGCTCGTGGGCAGGACTCAGCAGGAGCAGCCCCGGATTCTGAGCCGGATGGAACCCATCCCCCCTAATGCACTAGTGAAGCCCAATGCCAACGATGCCCAGGTCCTCATGTGGAGGCCCAAGCGGGGGCCGCCTCTGGTTGTGATACCTCCTAAGTAGAAGCAGACTGCCCAACTGTGCGTGGAACACGTGCCACTGAGACACGCAGTGGGATTGCCAGGGGTGACAGGAGCCAAACTGAGTTTCTGAGCCAAAGCAGACCTCTTGGTTTGCCAGCCTCTGCAGCTGCTTGTGAAGAGTACAGCTGCTCCTTGGTGGTAGAACCATAACCCTTAGGAAAAGCCCCTTCCTCTTAGGAATAAAGAAATCACTGATTTGACAGACTTGCTGTGATTACCATGCAAGTAGCCATATTTTGCAGCTGACCGGGATGATTCTTTTATTTGAACTATTGACCATTTCTTTCCTGTGAGAAGCAGGGGATGTAAATGAAACTAAACAGTGCCTGTGGCGGATGCTGCTTCCCAACCAATTAGAAGCACGAGTGGAAACATCCACACCAGGTGTTCGTAAGACAGTCCCCATGTGTGTGACTGGAGGGTGTTGGGGAGTTGGGTGATGGGGAGAGAGAAGACGAAGTTGTTGCTACAGATTAATATCAAGTATTAGTTGATGATCAGATCGTCAACACACCCACTGGAAGGAGAGTAACACTTAAACGTGAAAGGTAGTGTGAACCCCGTGTACGGAGTGAGAGCTGCCCTGGGAACTGTCCAAAGTGCTGATGTCAGCAGCCCTGGTGGAGACATGCTGCTTCCATCCACTCCCCTCTTTCCAAAGAGAAGGCTCGTGCTAAGTGTTGTTAGTCACAGTACTGGACATGTAGTTCCTGTTTTCTGTAGTAACGATGGCACTGGGTCCCTCCTGAGCTTTTAGTGACTCAATCTGTGACTTCGTTTACAGCTACAGATTTCTCACCAGCCTTCAATTTACAAAGATGTATAGCCTCCCATTCATATAGGGGTTTGGGAACATCTCAACAAATGAGAACAATACCTTCAAGTTTTAGTCTCTGAATTGTTTGGGCTCAGGAAATGCACACACCTGTGCATGCACTTGTGTGCTCACACACCAGTATTCAGAGATAATAGCAGCTAATCTTACCAGTAGTGCCTGAATATTCATCAATGGCCTTTAAACACACATAGTACGCACACTGTAAGTCCTTGAGCAAACTTGTGTTACTGAGACCCAGTCAATAAAGGTGGGAAGCCAAATGTCCTTTAGTCAGGCAGTGTAACACTCTCCGAAGGGTTTCCAGTATTTACATATTTCCAACCCTTTCAGCATAAATCATCCTCCCCCCCACACACAAAGAGTTTTCCTTGTTATTTTTAATAGTGCAGATTGTTAGATAGAGCCTTCCCTGTTCAGAAGCTCCCTGTGCAAACAAACTACAGATTTCTCATAATGTGGCACAATGAATAAGTAAATTCTTCAAGCCTAATTTCAGAGATGAGAGATGCCGAGTCTGGAGCCATTATACAGATCCTGTCATTGATCCAAATCTGCCAGAGATTGGGGACAGAGAATGTGAACCAGGAAGACTTGTTCATTGTTTTTGTTTAAAATGCACTGTAGTCTAATTTCTTTCATGCTCTTGTCCCAGAGGATGCTACTCACAATTATATATATAGCACTAACTTCACACCCCAACCATCAGCTTCTCTCCTGTAGACTAGTTATTGACGGCAAGTCATTTATAACAATACATCAATGCCCATAGGTGAGTTGCAAAGACTCTATCTAGAAATAATTCTATTTAGAATAATTCAGCTATTACTTTTGGATGTCCCTGTCCCTTTCCCATGCTTTCCTACTTTTTCATGGCAGAGCTGATCTGAGAGAGATACAGGCTGAAGAGTAAAGCTGCTTATTTTCCATTCTGACATCAGAAACACCAGTCTCTCCCTCACTGAATTAGATGCCACTTTTATGAGATTTGGGACAGTGGATGCTGGTCTTGCAATGCAAGCCACGCAGTCCCACTTTAAGAAAACCTGATTTTTTTTTACATCTAAAATTGTAACAACAGATGAATAAGAAAGAGTTTATATTAAAAATCCTATACAAGGTTTCAGTCTGTAAATGTCCCTAGAACATTAAGATGTGACTCACACAATTATCTTTACATAAAATATAGCTTTTCAAAGCGCTGTCTATACTTACAAAGCAAGATGCAACATTTGCTTACCTAGGCTTATTCCTCCTTAAAAAGAATCACTCCAGATTTTTAAAATAAATTACCCCCAGGTGATTTTCTGGGAAATGATGTAATAAAAAATTGAGAAAAAATATGGGAAAGGGCTTATAAAAGGTAAAAGCACTGTGCAAATATGCATTACCATTGTCATTTGTTACTTCTGTAAACTCTCTCAGTTCTGAAGTCAATCTGGCAGAACACTCAATTTCCTGTAGCCAATTATGTTAAAGTTATCATTGTTTTACAAGGATATGACCCCCTTTCTCGCTATCTGTGGATCATTGCCTTTTAGCTTAGTCAGGATATTACCAAGCAAAGGGCTCTCTTACAGGAGAGAATTAAGCTTGAGATCTCTGCTGGGGTCACCTACATCTTCACATCGGCCTACATTCCCTTGAGAACGGGTGGTCTGACACCAGATAACATCGATTTCAAAGGGGCTCATTCTGTGACTTTGGTGTGAATTGGGAGGTCTCCAGACTGCATTTGGATTCTGTATGGGTTCATTGTTTCTTAGTGGCACCACAGTTTTAAACTCCAATATTTGAAACAACATTTCATCAGATTTTAAATCCTTAAAATCTGAGGTCACCTTTGAGATCTTCTAGTCTATGATCTCCAAGGAAATTGAGGCCCTTAAATTAGGTCATCTATTCAGGATCACAAATCTAATCGGCACAGGCCAAGAGAAGGCCTGAGTCTCCCAGATCCAGCTTACAATACAGGCACATTACCTGGGACTGGGGTCTTCCCTTGTCTCCAGCCAGAAACACTGTCATTGTCCCAGAATCATTCACCCACAAATCAATTAGCCTAGATATGAAAAACAATTGGGTCCAGAACCCTTTTCACTATAATGTTAAAAAATGAACATTCCAGATTGCTTCCTGTCTGTGACAGCTGTTTAGATATTGAACCCTCAGCCTTTGTTCTCTGCTGCATGCATACCAACCACATCATCAGGTCGTTGCTGTAGTCCACAGCACATGGGAGGCTGGAGGCTGGAGGCTGGTCCCCTTTCTGCTTTCCATCCAATGAATCATTTTGGATTCCCCCCACCCCTGCAACAGATACCTCAAAGGCCAAAATCATGGTCCAAGAAACAACTCTGCATCGTAAAATAAAATAGCAATGATTTATAAAAGATTTTACAAAAGGCCTCTACATGCGTTTTCTCGTTCACAGTTCATCTTATCAGAAGTGTCGTTTAGTGGTGGTGGTGGTGGTGATGGTGGTGGTGGTGTTATTGTCTGCATTTTACAAATAGCAAATTGAGACCAAAGAGGTTAAATGATATATCCACAGGCACACAAACAAAAAAATGCCAAGGGCCTTTTGACTCAAACCCCCATTTTCTCCCTCTGTATGGTGCTATCCCTTAGTTTACTCCTTAGCACAAAGGAGAAGAAAGAAAAGGAGAAGGCAGGTCACTGTCACCTGCACAGTCATGTAGTCCTCCCCTACCTACCAAGTGGAATCATTAAAAATGAGAGAATGAAAGCTGTTTTCTTCCTCAAAGAGCCTTGTAATCCCCAGGGAGGTTGGCCAAGAAAAATGCCTGTCAGGGACTGTGGTGTGGGGGAGGTGGCTGTCACTTGTAATTAATGGAGTAAGGAAAGCTGTTCCCCTGGTCTCCGAATCCCTTAAACACCACAAATACAAAGACAGGCAGGAAGCAGGCATCCTAAGGCGAGGTCCCAGCTGAGCAGTGCCCTGCCACCCGCGGTCCCTCAATGCATGTGCAGGAGCAGCCCGTGGGGCGGAGGCAGTGGAAACAATGACTTTCCAAGGCCTTCTTGGCACATTGAATGTTCTTGTTAAGAGTGGAGGGCACAATTAAACATCGCTAGAGCCAGTTCCCAACTGAGTTGCAAAGAACGATATAAACGTGCACACACATACACGCACACACATGCACATGCACAAAGACCTACCACACTCACACACTTTCCGCGCTGAAAAGAAAATTAATCAAAAACCCAATGAATGCCTGAACTCTATAATTAAGCCTAAATGATCCTTGGATAGAAAAGGAGCTGAGTGAACAAGCTCAGTGAGCAAGCACACAGATATTTTTACCCCAGAGTCTTATTGCCACTAATTTCTTTTGAGATCTTGAGTACATCTGGTCCCCATTTCCCTGGTAGGACATCTGCCTATAGAAGGCTTCCCAGGGAATTGGCAGTTCAGTGATGGCCAAGGCTATCTAACCATTCCCAAACACTTCTATAGGAACTCCTGTGGACAGATGTGGCATCATCGATCCCTGGGCCAGCTATATGCTCTCCCGTAACAGAGCCAATCACTAGCCCCAGTAGACATTGGCATGGTCTCTGAAACACTGGACAGTATCTCAACTAAGCGTTGCTTGGCATAAGACATTATCATATCAGTAGACACACTGGGCTGGAGCTAGTTAGCAGACCTTCAGCATCCATCAATTTGGAAGCCCAAAACCTCATTCAGTCCCGGTGAAGTAAGGCCTGGTCTCTGGGAAGTTCTCTCAGCTCTCCCCAGCATTAGCCCCCTGGCTAAGAGAAGCCTATATCCAGGTAGGGGCAGAAAAGAAAAACAGAAGAATACCACATGGTCCTGGGTGTAGCTAAAATTCCAAGAGGGCTTTAGGAGGGTACAGGTGGCTAAGTGTCAGGACAAGGCTAGATGGAAAAATCCCAGCAAAACTTGCTGGATTGAAAGCCACAAAAGCCACCCCGGAACAGCTGCATTTTCCTCATCCTGTGCTCCCTTGGCAGACACAGAAGGAAAATATGTATATCTCAAATCTTTGCATGGGTCTCTACTGGCCCATCTGTCCCTTTAGTTTTGGCTTAAACCTTACAGTTTGCAAGTGACTTTACAGATCTGTAATCTTGAAGCAGATAAAATGAGAAGTACTTCCCCTTACCCTGTACATATACAACACAACACACCCCAGGCTATCCTGCAATGGTGGCTTCTCTCTACATCTGCCTATAGTGACCCCTTTCTCTATGGTCTCTCTTAGACCAGCTACATAGTTTTCTTTGAGCCTCCCCAGTCCCAGTCCCATGCCTCAAATTATCTATTTCTCCCAGCTGAGCTGAAGGATGTTCTCTGAGAAAACCTACCAGCTCTTCTTTCCAAGACAAATATGGATCCAGGCCTCTAGGCAGCAGGAGGCCAAGCATAGAATCTCTTCCACCTCTCAACCCACCTTTGTCTTCAGCTTACCTAGAAAATGTGGGTTGGTCCTTAAAGCAGTTGAGTGCTGGTTCAGAAATACCCAGGGATGGGGAAAATACATATGTCAGAAAAGAAAGAACCGAGACACAGAGCCAAGACACAAACAGGGCCCAGTGCCACATGGGATCATGAGGCATACGGACAGTGCTGTGAGATATTTAAATGATAGCATCATTGAATCTTGGGCTGGCTGAGGGCTGGCTGAGGGCCAGCATTACTGGGGCAAGGAGGAGATAAAAAGAAGGACAGGGTGTTTTTCTAGTTGCAGGCTAAGGTACATCTGAGGAAGACATAAGAAGGCACCCACTGTGTGCTTGCATGGTACAGTAAGCCTTCTTGGCATTTGCTGCGGTGCCTGGCTTAACCCCTTCCTCTCTGCCCCACTTCACAACTCCCTCTAATTCTCTGCTTTCCACACAGAAGAGCAAAGAGGGAAGGTATCACGGTAATTTTCCAAATGCCCATTCTGCTAGCAAGTCTTTCTACAACAAATCTCCTACATACTTGGCAAAACAAAATCCTTGCCCTCAGTGGGACAGTGTTCATAGGAAGCTGTAGAAGGCACTCGTACATTGTGAGGTAGCCCAGGCCCTTGTAAAGTGTCTCAGAGTCATCTCTCTACATGATGGATGCATCAACCAGTCTATCTTTTTAGAGGGACTGTTATGACCCCTCTCTAGTCCCTAAGGGGAGATAAAGTAACAGGACAAGACTTCTCAAACACCCTGTCCTAAAGAAAACCCCAGAGACCCTGCGGCCCCACCAGTACATACCCCAGCATTTGGGTTATCTCTCCATCTGCTATATCTCCTTTGCCCCTACCCTAAAAACCAATTAGAATATTCCACACAAACATTATCCAATGAACTGTTAATTGTAAAAATAACAGGAAAGATAATACATGCACTTCAGGCTGAGAACTATTTCATTAAACTGGGCTTTGAAAGCAAGACAGCCAATTAAGTAATTTCCCACTTCACTCCCTCACATATCAGAAACTATGGAAAGCTATTACTTCTAATTAATTAGGGGGAAAGGCTTTACATGTGAATATCAGATGAATGGAGATAGAGATGCTCCCACACATACCTCCTTATGCTTGCACATACACATGTACATGCACATGTGCACACACACCAGAAAACTAAGGACTTTCTCACCTAAAGAATTCCATGGATCTTGCCGGGCAGGGTGGTGTGTACCTTTAATCCCAGCATTCAGGAAGCAGAGGCAGGTGAATCTCTCGAGTTCAAGGCCAGCGTGGTCTACACAGTGAGTTCCAGGACAACCGAGCTACACAGAGAAACCCTGTCCTGAGAAAATACAGAATTCCATTGATCTTCTTAAACAGTCAAAAAATTCCTAGTCCCAAGAGCCACTAACAAAACTAAAGTATTTCTTCTTTAAGTACATTCATGAGAAAGAAAATAGGATATTTCATATAAAAGAATAAACAGTTTTAAAATCAGTTCAATTATGAGCCTTTTACAGAAAAAAAAGGATCTTGCCTTTTTGTCTTCAGTAAAGTAGATATTTCTACCCAGTTCTCTATATACCAAACATATTATTCATTAATACAGGGGACCAAGGAGTCAGGGGACTGAGCTCCCGAGGCCTGATTTTGTATTGATGTCATACTGACCTTCACTTATTTATCTGTGACACAAGAAGACGGCCCCTTCTCAGTGCCATCTGCACCCCACAAAGTGTTTAAGTTGTAAGAGCACCCTTAACAGAGAGCTCTGGATTGCTTGTGTCTTGCCTTAGGAAAACTAATAGATAAAAGTAAACCACACAGTTAAAATATTTCCTATACAAAAATTATGCTGTCTAAGGCATCGCTATTATATAACACATATAATTAATATACTAAAGACATAAGGACTAATATCAATAATAAAAACATGATTTTTTTTGGTTTTTCAAGACAAGGTTTCTCTGTATTGTCTTAGAAGCTGTCCTGGAACTCGCTTTGTAGACCAGGCTGGCCTCGAACTCACAGAGATCCACATGCCTCAGCCTCCCGAGTGCTGGGATTAAAGGCGTGCGCCACCAATGCCCGGCTAAAACATGATTCTTAAGGCTGTTTTCTTGGTGATGTGACTTCTGCTCATGAGCATCTGTGTGGTGTGCTCTGTGAACATCAAGTAGACTGAGTTCAGCTTAGGCCTCTGTTCATATATGCTTACTTTGTACCCAACCTTCTCCCCAACTTACCATGTTTGTTGTTCTATGCCATGCCAGGTATCAAAGGCTGGCAGACTCTGGCACAGTCAGGACCTCTGACCCATCTTGGTTAATCACATTCCTGGAGAAATGGGAACTGGCATTTACAGGTGCCAAAGAGCATGGCCGCTGTTGTGGTGAACAGGGTTCACAGGGGGATTTTTCTAAAACATCTTAGACCAGGTCCCTGTTTATATATGAAATGGGTTTATCTTCTAATTTCAGAGCATCAAGACAAGTTTATTTAACCATCAACATAAATGTTTTGGATTCTTCTTCCAAAACCTGGAGAGAGAGAGAGAGAGAGAGAGAGAGAGAGAGAGAGAGAGAGAGAGAGGGAGGGAGGGAGGGAGGGAGGGAGGGAGGGAGGGAGGGAGGGAGGGAGGGAGGGAGAGGGAGGGAGGGAGAGGGAGGGAGAGAGGGAGGGAGAGAGAGACAGAGAGACAGAGAGAGAGAGGGAGAGAGATGGCTGATTAGACAGTTTAGTTAGACTAGCGAGCTCCAGGCTCAAACAGAGAGACCCTGTCTCAAAAAAATAGTGTAGAACTACTGGGAAAGACACTGAAAATAGACCTCCAACCTCTACATTTATGTGCACACACATGCATGTGCACCCACACACGTACAACACACATACTCACAGACACACATGTACATACATTCACAAACATGAACTCTCACACATATGTACACACATACACAAATAAAAAATTCAGGAGAAAGAAAAGAATTCACAACATTTCACTTTATCTCAGACCAGTTCCCTTGTTTTATTTTTAAAATTGGGTTCACCCACTTCTTTAGGACTTCGGCTGTTACATAAAGCAGCATATACAAGCTCCCACAAAAGAAAGTTGCTATATATTTTCTTCCTAATGAAAATTTGATTGACAGCTTAAGGTTGAATGATATAGATATGTAGTGAAGTAGGGAGCTTTGGTAATATTGGCATGAGTCAATGACAGAAATCCTGGTTCCAGTCGGTTCAGTTTCTGCAAATCTCTGTGCCTGGAATACTGAGGAGCGGTGTCTGAATTTCCACCCATTCCTGTAGATCCTTTTGTGCTTTCCTAGTGACCTAAACAAACAAAATGACTTGGAATCTCTTCATGTTGTTTTAGTTTTCAATCTTTTAAGAATAGATGAATGTTATAAACCTCCTATGTAGGGAAATATGCCTGAAGATGCTCAAAACTTTGCACAAAATTTAAGTTATTATCCCTTTAAAATCTACTTACGAAGCTTGAATTATGAACATCTGCTTTTAAGGGATGGTGTTCCCTTGGCCACTGTCTTAATGCACACTGTTTGCATGTTTCTATGTCCACATGCAGGTCTCCTAGTAGGACAAAGCAAGCTCAGCAAGCAGAACCACATGGCAAGACACTGAGGAGAAGGATATGAGCAATGGCTGGTGACTCTGGAAGCTGACACCCTGGACAGCTGATTTCCTATTTAAAAAGCGTGCCATCTTGCCTGTCTCCTCACCACCCTCCCATCCTGTGACCAGTACCTCCTCTTCCCACCGCGTGTGTCCAGCCAGGCCAGCTGGTTGGCTCATGGGGGAGCGTTGCTAAAGTGGAAGTTGTGCCTGCTGCACCTTTTGCGGTGTGGAAAGATTGAGTTCACCCACACCTCCAGCTCATCCCCTCCCTCCACATGAAGCCTCCCAAGGACAAGGCTGGTCATCCTGGACTGAAGGGACCCCACACGGCCCAGCCCTGGCTCCCAAGCCTGCCACCCCACACCACACTTTTGGGTGGGAAACAGGGAGAATATGTATCTCCCATTCCCCTCTCTCTTCTCTATGTGGATAGCCGATGTCAATCATCCCCTGAGGTTCCTCTAAGGTCTTTGGAAGGCAACTGTTTGCCCTACCATGGACAGACTTGGTGCCTTCAGATGACCAAGAGCAGCATTTATGTCGCCAGGATCAGTGGAGTGAGAGCAGAACTTCCCCCAACAGGGAAAAAGTGGTATATGTTGTTTTAGTGATTGTTTTATTTATTGGTATTCTCATCTATTTATTTATGGAATCTGTATTTATTATACACCAGAAAATCTACTTCCATCTTTCAAACATCAGCCCAAAAATTGTCGTTTGCCTCTACAGAGCACAGTAAATGATTCCTCTTTGAAGCCACAGAAAAAGAGGGAAATTCTTCTCCCTGATCCCAAATGCTTCTACCCCAGACCAATTTTCAACCAGAAATTGGATCAGAAACTACCAGCTCATAGTAATCTGTCCAGCCACAGGAATCAGCACAGGCCCAGCTAGACAGAAACCCAGAGTATTCCAGCCCCTTACTCTTTCACTTTTTTCCCTTCCATTCCTTCCCAAACTCATGCAAGACCAATCAACTGACTCCAGACTGGTGGTTAAGACTGGACTTCTCAGTCTGCTGTGGTGTAGAATGCTTGGAACCAGGTACACATTAGAATCTATGCCAGGAGCTTTGCCTGGTTTCCACCTCATGTATCCATAGCAGAATTTCCAAGGGCTGAGCAGCAGAGGTCTTTTTAGTAACCCAGATGATTCTAATTTGTAAATGCAGTTGATTAAAAAAACCCTTCTACTATCTTCTTCATCCCCACCCACCTCCAAGACCTCTTCCTCTGGACAAGCTTCCTCTGGAGTCCCTATTCCTCCAGTCCCCTTTTCTCCTTAAACTTTCCGCATCAGTACTATCAACCTTAGCAGACCCAAAGAGGTGACTGGTTCTAGGAGTCACACCCGAAGCTGATGCCTACACTTGGCCTCTCTAGAAGCAAAAGCTCATCCCCTGCCCAAGTTCACCTTCCATCTGCACTTCCCCCCACCACACATGCCTCCCTCCAAGAGTTAGAAGGTTACATGGTTATTCCTATCGCTATGCCTCAATCTTAAGGCAAGGCTCATTTCAGTCTTCATAACCCAAGAGTTGGATGTTTCTGCAGAGCAACATGAATTACCTAAGGCCCCACTGATAACAGGAAAGGGTCATTCATAATAGGAAAGGACTGTCCCCCCAACAGTAATGACAGCAACCCCCCATTCTGGCATCCAAATCATAGATGACTAGAGGAGACTTCTCACCCCTCATGTTGACAAGTTCTCAAACAATGAATACAAGTGAAGGGATGTGTGTGTGTGTGTGTGTGTGTGTGTGTGTGTGTGTGTGAACTGTCTTCATATAAACTACATTGATCTATGGAGATGCTGAACTTCAACTTTACAATATAGACTTTTATCTGAAAATAATCAAGAACTTGAGTGGTCTTGCACTCAGTGGATTCCCTGCGCCCATTTCCTCAAAGGCCCAAGTGAGTTCCACAGTAGTGCTCCATGCAGAATGTTGTAATATCTAAAAACTGTTGGATGTGTTAGAGAGTGTCTGTTGTATGCACAAGAGAGTGCCCCAACATAGAAAGAGTTCATTTTCCTACCCCACCTCCAGCATCTAAGCAGGTTCCAAGAGCAAGCGGATTTCTCCTGCATTCATAGCACCATGCCTTCTTGCCCCATTCATCAGACTGTCCTGCACCAAGTCCCATCTCTCAGGGTCCTACTCTCTGATAGGCAACAGTTCAGTCAGTGGGTGCTAAAGAGTTGAGTGTTACACTTCTTAAGTGACATTTACCTTTTAATTGGGGCTATAGACAATGCCTTAATCTGAAGGAATAGCTTGAATGCTGGGAATTTCAGGTGCAGAAGTGGGCCAGTAAGAGAGATTATTTTTTCCTTAGGGGGGCATTTTAGAGCTTCCCCTCCCCCATACGTATCTTTAAACTCAGCTCATAAGTACATAAGCACAAGCAAGCACACTTACCTACATCCACATCCCATAATTTTGAAATACCTCCCATGCATTGGCCCCATCGTTAAAAATAAAAATAAAAAAATTTAAAAAGAAACCAGCTAAATTCATTTAAACCTCATTGGGAAATGCAGCCTATTTTTTCACCGGCCACCAGCCATCTGGTCTACCCCACCCTGTTCCATTTCCTTCCTGCTCCTTCTCTTTTCGGTTACTGGACTATCAGTTAAATTATGTGTACATGTCCTCTCTGCTCTCTCCTTGCTTCCCCTCAAATGTATTTTCCTCCCTTAAAATTGTGTCGTTTTTGGTGTTGTCCAAGGACAGACGTGGAGGCTAAGAGCATGAGCATGTATGTGTGTCACTGAAGACAGAGAAGCCAGGTATTCTGCTACAGTTTGAAGAATAATGCCACAAAGGAAGATATGAAAGCTGGCTCTGCAGAGTGCCTTAAAATGACTTTAATTAGGAAATTCTGAGTTGTCAGTCTTTGGATGTTACATAAACTCAAATGGATGTTGCATTTCACTTCTCTGGGATTAAAAAAAGTTAAATACAGTATGTATTCAACAATCACAAGTATATTTTCTCTTTAATTTGGTCCTTAAAGATTTAGTACTGAGAAGGTGGGAGATTTGAGGGCTGGAGAGATGGCTCAGGGATTAAAAGCACTTGCTACTCTTGAAGGGGACCAGAGTTCAGTTCCCAGCACCCATGACAAGTGGTCCACAGCTATCTGTAGCTCAAGCTCTAGGGGATCTGACACTATTTTCAGACCTCGACAGGCACCCAGGCACACATGCATACGCACACTTGCACAAAGAGGGAGGGGAAGGGAAGAAGAAAAGAGAAAGGTGGGGAGACGGAGGGAAATGCACACACCCATAAGTAAAATAAATCTTTTCTGTTTGTTATTTAGTCTCTGATTTTTCACAAAATCAAGGGAAGACTCCAGGCACATACAAGCTCTGGGATGTACAGAGGACAGACACAAGAACCAGGTTCTGCATGTTTAATAAAGCTCTGCCAATGAAGGCCACACACTACAACCAAATCCCATTCACCAAGTAGTTTTACAGTGAGAAATAAACACAGACATTGTGAGCAAGGAAAAGAGATTTCCCCTTCTACCTGATGCTGCACTGTTTGTCTTCATCTGCTGAGGCGTCCATAGCAAAATGCCACTAACTAGGTAACTTACACACACACACACACACACACACACACACACACACACACACAAATTTACTTCTCACATACCTAGAGGTTGGGAAGTCCAAGATCAAGTTTCCTGCACTCTTAGGGTCTGCTAAGTTGCTGGTCCATGGACAGCCTTCTCTTGTGTTCACATAGAAGAGTGAACAGGCTCCTTCAGGTCACTTCATAATTCAGTTCACAGGTACTCCATTATCATGGCTTAATCACCTCCCAAAGCCCCACCTCTGACATCATCACCTTAATGCTTGGGATTTAAGCGTATGAATTTGGGGAAGAGAACATACAAGCAACATATACCACTCTCCTAGTCTTTGTTTCAGTGAGAAGTTGGAAGAATATTCCAGAAATGCAGAAGCTAAACCTTACCCTTTCACCTCTTTTTTGATACCCCACCTACTTTGTTTAGCTGAACTTTTGCCACCCAAGGAGCTAACCCAAACCCAGTTACTTTGGAGTAATTGAGTTTGTGCAAGCAGTTAAGTTTCTGCACTGTTACCTTCTCTCTCAGAGAGTTGAATTTTTAAAGGTCAGATATCCGCTAAGCAAGAGTGGGAAGGGCAGAGTTGGGAGGGAGGCCTTGACATACAATTGGTTCCTGAAAAGTCAGTGTAGTTGGGAAGGAAATGGAGCTCCCAGTTCTACCAGGCCTAGCTCCTACCTCTTTCCACTGCCTGCACCTGGTTCCTGCACACCTGAACTTTGTTCCTTCACACCTACACCTTGTTCCTGCAGTGCTGGCTGGTAAGTGGCTGGTACCATTCAGCTAATAGCTTCTCTCTCTTCTAGTCAAATCTGTCATAGTTATTTTCCACAAGAGGCATGACCCTTCTCTAAGGCCAGCAGTTTTAAGAAGACTGAAAGTCAATAATTAATATTCTCTTTCTCTGTTCCTCCCCACTCCCTGAACACTCCCCCATGCATCAAAATAGCAGTGAGACACAGATACAGAGAGAAAAAACAGTCTCTACTCACCACTATAATACCTCTGTCAGACACAAATTATGAACTCAAAAGGATGAGGGGAGTAGTTTTTAAACATTTGTTGGGTTTGTTCTTAAAACAGGGTTTCTCTGCATAGCCCTGGCTGTCCTGGAACTCACTCTGTAGACCTGTAGACCAGGCTAGCCTCAAACTCAGAGGCCCAAGGCCCACATCCCTCTACCTCCCAAGACGGGATTAAAGGGTAAGCCTTCACTACCCACTCTAAGCATTTATATTTTTAAGGCAAGATAGCCCCACCCTTCCAAGCCAGCAGAGCAACACATGCTCAACTCTGCAAAAGCAGTTTCACAGACAATTTAGAAAAGGGAGACCTGCATCATCCCTATCAGAAAGCATGGTCTGAAGTATGCCATCATGAAAGGACACTTGCTAGGTAAGGATGAGGCCATGGGTTCAATTTCTAACCCAGCACACACACACAAACACACACACACATTTTAAAGGACATTTGTACTTTTTCTTTGTTCATTCATTTTAAGCACTAAATAGTGATCCAACCATTAGGAACCCCATTGCAGAATGTATATGTGTATATGCATGCAAAGCCCTACTGTAAGAGAGGGTTAGAGAAATGTAGCAGCAGTTGAGGCAAACTGAAAAGATAAGTGGGATTTGTTCCCCATTTTAAAAGAACTGAGAAAATTGTGTTGAACACTGTGATGAGTTGGGAGAAGGAATATGGATGTTTCAGATTTTCAAGAAACTAAGCTGTCATATATTCAAAGACACTTGGGCACTCAAAGACCGAGTTTTCTACATGAGGGAGTGACATTACATGCCTAAATATCTTGAGCTACAAATATGGGCACATACAGCATGTTACATATTAATTTTACCTTCTCAGAGCAGAAAACACAATCAATCCCTTTCTGAAGTGTCTTACCCACACACCACCATTTCCCCAAAACCATTTGACCTTAAACCTATCTAGATAAAGAAAACAACAAGCAGAAAGCATGAGATCAGGTCAGCTGTTCCTTCTAACTTGTACCTTCTCTGCCCACTGCCTGAAGCAGGACAGCAGTTCGTGGCAGACAGGATGCCCAGGACACTAGCTGAGCATACCACTAGGCCAGTCACTGTTCTCAAAGGACCAGGACTTCATTTCATCAGGTCAAAAGCTTAAGCCCTTCCCCCTCCCCAACACAATGATGTCACCATATTTCCTAGGGTCCAAGCCCAGTTCCACGCCTCTGGGAGACTCTAATGTCCAACCCAACTTCAAACCTTGTGAAGATTAATTGAGGGGTTGTTCCTTGACTCCCAGAATGCCCCAGGTTCCTTTGGCAAATTAATCCCATTCTTCCAACCCCACATACTCTCCTTCTCCAAGAGATCCTACATTTGCACAATTAAAGACTCCTAGTGTGGCCTGCAGAGTGAAAGGACCACGTTTCTATAAGACTACCTTGTAAGTAGAAAGAATCTATCCCTCTAAGACCCTCCTTTCTAGTGGGAAGAAAAAGAAAATCGATACAATAAGAAAATTATATACTAGTATGGGAGAGGAAGAAAGGGCAGATAAGGGAAGGGGGATAACTGGTAGAGTTAATTCCAGGTGATATTCTGTCTGGATTCTATTAAAAGTAGTTGTCAAATAAACTTACTATTTGAATGATTCTAGCCCCTTATTCTATGCAGCCATGGATATCCTAGTTCATGGAAGCCTGTGCTCTACACACTACAGATTCCAGAGCAGAGCCAAGTTCATGGCCTTTTACTGCTGCAGCAACCCATGGAGACCCTGTTTACTGCAGCTAAAAGAAAGACAAAGTGACTTTGTCAAAGTCACACATCCTCTGAGTGTCAGAGCAAGGATCCCAATATGGCTGCTGAGACTCTAGTGTGTGGCTTTTCCCAATGCAGTCATAAAGAACACAATTCCAGAAGATCTAGAATTGAGAGACTCAGGCTAGGGATGTAGCTCAGTAGGTGGAGTGCTAGCCTAGCATTCTAAAATGTTTTTTATTAGGTGTGTAAAATATCAATGGGCTCCCTGCAAACATAAGGTAAGACAAGATATGAGATTCCAATATGAATTATAAGACACAGGACAAATGTGAAGCTTTGGGGCAGCTCTGCAGGCTATCTCAAAATGCCACTTACCTACCATCTGTGTGATTCATCAGGCAAATAAATATAATTAAAAGGAGCTGTTTTTATAACATGTTACACATAATTCCCAAAGCAATCCTTAGTCAAGCTGGAAAAATTAAAACAGTATATATTTTCTGTCTATGAACTAATTATCTGATTCACATGGATTCAAAGCAAGCCCACTCCCAAGGTATTTTCTAAAGTATGTGCATAATTGCCCTAAATATATTGAGGAAGCACCAGTGCATGGTCCTTGTTATGAGCCTCTGAGCACTTTCCACATCACCCAAGAGTGAAGCAAAGAACATTCATATGTGACAGTTCCCTGAGAAGTAAATGCAGCTGAGAATATCCAATAAGATGCACTGTATTTTTTTTTGAAGAAGAAGCCTGCTTCAGCTTTGCTCCTCCAGCCATCAAAGGCATATTATGCTGAATGGCAGCTGGTACCAAGTCCATCCATCTAAGCTGCCAAATAAGACAGCCCTACATCTGGGCAGGCTTAGAAGAAACAAATCCTAAGAAGAAAAACCAATTCTACTTTCTGACAGGGTCCTGAAATTTAGCTAGCTTCTCTGAGAGAGATATTGTAGGCTTCAAAAACTTATTATACTCTCAAAAATAAAAAATAAAATAAAAAATGAGAAAAAACACACGGACATACACAAAAAAAATGAAAGTAAATTTCATCTTCACAGTGCTGCCAAATGCTGTCTGCTCTTTTCTTCCCAAAGTCAGAGTATGGGGCTCTACAACAGGGAAAGTCAACCTTATCATCATCTTGCCAGCTTGGGGATGTACAAAAGTGTCTTTGCTACCTCTCTAGGGTTCCTTCTGATCAAGATCCCAAGAGAAATTAGAAAGCAAGCACAGCATAGGCAAAGATGAAACTGATAACAGCTTCATTCTCAGGCACAGAGGAGCTCCAGGATGGAGAACGGGTCGAGGCAGAAGACGAAAGTACTCCGGGAACAAGCAAACAGGACGCGAGAGATACTAAAAGTCATGGGGACTGGAGTTTCCAAACTGGAAATTCATGTCCCGTCTAAGACAAAATGTAGTTTATAAGTACTCTCTCCTCCCAATTCCAGAACTTGTCTTTATCTCTACCCAACTGCCAAGTCTGTGCTGTAGCAATTACTCACTCCCAGGATGTTGTTTTTCCATCACTGTGGAAGGACAAAGAGAAATGGGCTCCGAGTGAAACTGTTGGTGGCTTTTGTTAAGGTTTTGAGGAGATGGTGATGAAAATGGTACATGGT